CAAACTGGTATGAGTAATTTTTAAAGCTATTTAATATTAAATCTAAACTTTCTGTGCTGCATTTTTAAAATTTTCCAGTAAAATAAAGGGATCAAAGCATTCCTCCACTTTTTTTCTAGTACCCAAACATTTGTGTATCCTCCAGAGAGGCTGATGTAGAACCTTCCATATTTTAAAAACTGACTGCCAGCCCTGGCCAGTTTGGATCAGCGGTTAGAACATCAGTCCACAGACCAGAGAGACCCAGGTTCAGTTCTTGCTAATAGCCCGTACCTCAGTTGCAGTTTGTCCCCAGCCCTTGTTGGGGGTGGCATCCAGTTGATGTGTCTTTCTCACATCGATGTTTCTCTCTCTCTCTTACTCCCTCTCTCCCTCCTGCTCTGTCTGAAGATAAATGCAAAACTCCTCAGGTGAGGATAAAAAATAAATAAAAACTAATCGTCACTAGAATGACGACATCTAGTTGTGACTAATGAAAACAGTAACTACCATCCGGCCGGTGTGGCTCAGTGGTTAAGTGTCGACCCATGTACCAAGAGGTTGCTGGTTCGATTCCTGGTCAGGGCACATGCTCAGGTTGTGGGCCCCAGTGGGGGGCATGCAGGAAGTGGCCAATCGATGTTCTCTCTCATCAATGTTTCTATCTCTCTCTCCTCACTTCCTCTATCTCTATAAATAAATAAAGGAAAAAAATGTTTATAAAAAAAAACAAAAAAAAAACATTAACTACCTGTCTTGTCAACAAAGCTCAAAGCCCATGGTAAAGAGTAAAGTCAGCGAGTAACACACTCTCCCTGGGGTCTCTCACATCAAGTCAACTTACTTGATGACTCAGTCCCTCAGCAGGCAACTTCGTACTCAAAGTAACTTCATTTATTCTCATATATGTTTTGCTTTGTACAATATGAGCTAAGAAAAGAGTCATGCTCAAAACAAGGTCTGATGGAGAAAAGGGGACTCTAGTACACTGCTGGTGGGAATGCAGACTGGTGCAGCCACTATGGAAAACAATATGGTGTTATCTCAAAAAATTAAAAATTTAACTGCCATCTGACCGAGTGATCCCGCTTCTAGGAATATACCCTGAGAAGACTGAAACACCAATCAGAAAGAATATATGTACCCCCATGTTCATAGCAGCACTATTTACGATAGCTAAGATCTGGAAACAGCCCAAGTGTCCATCAGTAGACGAAGGGATAAAAAAGCTGTGGTACATGTACACAATGGAGTACTATGCAGCTGTAAGAAAGAAAGATCTCTTATCCTTTGAGACGACATGGAGGGACCTGGAAAGTATTATCCTAAGTGAAATAAGCCAAGCAGAAAAAGACAAATACCACATGATCTCACTTATATACGGAATATAATGAACATACAGTCTGAGGAATACGGTAGACCCAGAAACATGGAAGTAGGGCACAGACTGACATCCCTCAGAAGAGGGGGTTGGGGGAGTGGAAAGAGATAAACCACAGAACTTATATGCATGTATGCATAACCAATGGACATGGACAACAAAGCCAGGGATGGGGCGAGGCGGGGGGGATGGGGAGGAGAGTGTCAATGGGGTAAAAAAGGAGGAACATCTGTAACAAAAAAAATTAAAAATTAAAAAAAAAACAAAAAAAAAAAAAACAAGGTCTGAATATTCCTTAACTAAAGGTAACATTTCCCTGACACTAAAAGAGAGAAAAAGCCCTGGCCGATGTAGCTCAGTTGCTTGAGCGCTGTCCCATGCACCGATCTGTTTGATTCCTGGTCAGGGTGCTTGCCCGGGTTTCAGGGATGCTTGCCCAGTGGGGGGACATGCAGGAGGTGGCCAAAAGATGTTCCTCTCTCACAATGATGTTTCTGTCTCTCGCTCCCTTTCCCTTCCTCTCTCTAAAATCCATTAAAAAAACTTTCTTAAAGAGAGAGAAAATAAGGCCAGCACTGTCAATTTAGCCTTAATCTCGCAGCTGACTGCTGTGGAAGAGCCCTGGCCCCTGTGTCAGCCCTTGGTTTCCATCAGGAACCAGCAGGCTACGCCAGCTCCTGTCCTATAAAACAGCAGTAAGATCAGATATCCTTCCCCAGTCCTTTACAATGGAGCAGAGGAGTCAAAACACACAAACGTAAAGTGTTATCAAAATTAATTCCTGCCTGGCCTATGTGGCTCAGTGGATTGAGTGTCTTCCCATGGACTGAGAGGTCCCAATTCAATTCCTGGTCAGGGCACATGCCTGGGTTGCGAGCTCCATCCCCAGTGGGGGGCGTGCAGAAGGTGGCCAATGGATGTTTCTCTCTTCCTTCCTCTCTCTTCAAAGTCAATAAAAACATATTTTTTAAAAATTCCTTCATAAACATTTGCGAGATTCAACTATAGGTAAAGGGTGCAGTTTAGAACCATACAATTAGTTCAGCAAGAGAAACCAACTGAGGGCTTGAGTGCTGTTAGAGCTGTGCTCCCTCCAACTCTAGTCCCAGCCCTGACTGATGAGCCATCTCAACAGCTTCTTAAAGCCCTGGTGGGCTCCACCCTGCTTTGTATATGTGTGTGCATGCATGTGAGTGTGCACACATATGGGTACATGTGCACGTATGTGTGCATGCATGTGTTAATGTATATATGTACATGGATGTATCTGTATACTTTGTGCATATATACAGTTTTTATGAAGTATGACATGCACAGAGAAAAGCACACATGGAAGGACACGACTTGGTGAATTTTCAGAAACTGAACACCCCTCAATCGAGGAGAGAATCAGCTGCACTCTAGATGGTTTTCATTTGTTTTTATAATGCTCCCAGGGGATTATGATGGGCCAGTTTTGAGAATCAATGAGTCAGAGCATAATATTAATGTGTAAAGAGCATGCATGGGTTTGACAACATTCCCCATTTTAATGTGATCAAAATAATCTTAACAAGCACAATATATTTTACGGTTTGGGTATTAAAAAGATTATGACAATACAAAAACCATAGAAGCAATAAGAAATGTGCTCAGCCCTGGCCAGTTTAGCTCAGTGGTTAGAGTGTCGGCCCGTGGAACAGAGAGTCCTGGGTTCGGTTCCCACTAGGGGCACGTACCTCAGTTGCAGTTTGTCCCCGACCCCAGTTAGGGTCGTCTGGGTGGCAACCAGTTGATGTGTCTCTTTCACATCAATGTTTCTCTCTTTCTCTTCCCCTCTCTCCCTCCTGCTCTGTCTGAAGATAAATGCGAAAATGTCTTCGGGTGAGAATAAAAAAAAAAAATTTAAAAGAAATGTGCTTTGACGTTTGTGAATTTGTGAGTTAATTTCAGTCATGCAACAACAACAACAAAAAAAACGTGCTTTCAGTGACTGGAGGTTCCTGTTTAAATAGCAGATTTCAAGCCCACCTCCTGCTAAGGGTTACTAGCTGCGCAGGAAGGAGACGGTCACAGAAGGATTTAAAAGCCTACAAGTGTGACTTCTTATAGCTAGCATACAAACCTCGCTCCACGGGGCATTTGTCTTTCAGCCCTGCCTCTTCTAACATGTAAAGACAATGGTCCTTCCCTCAGTGCAATCAAGATAAATCCATCTGCATACAAGGGCATAGGAAACAGGGGTCCTAAATGAAATTCCAGTAGCCAAGGGTGGGCTGGGTTATAGGAAGTGCACAGGATTACACAAGGTTCAGCCCACACCAAATTTACATGTCACGTGCCCTCCCTCTATGGACCCCCACAGGGGGAATTTCTGTTGGGAGGGGGCACATTTTCTCATTGTAAATCCTATCATTTTCAATGATTCAATGTTGGGGAGGGAAGAATTCTTGATCCAGTAAAGAAACCTGAGCCTTCAAAGCAGGCTGCAGAAGAGTGATGTTTCATAATAAACTAATATGTTTTACATTTAATTTTTCTCCACTGACTCAATAAATCTTTTAGCCCTACTGTATGCCCAATGCTGCTTATGTTGAACAAAAAAATAAAATAAAATAAAAAATAGCCCTAGCTAGTTTGGCTCAGCAGTTAGAGCATGGGCCCACAGACCAAAGAATCGATTGCAGTTGGTCCCCGGCCCTGGTTGGGGTCATGTAGAAGGCAGCCAGTCAATGTGTCTCTCTTACATTGATGTTTCTCTCTCTCTCCCTCCTTCCCAGTCTATCTGAAGATAAAGAGAAAAATATCCTCAGGTGAGGATTTAAAAAAATAAAAATAAAAGTCTTTGCTTTCATAGTTCTTGAAATCTGGCTGATTAATAACACAAGTAATTAATTCCAAGTGTCATTCGTGCCAGAGAAAAAGAACTTTGAATGCACTTAACTGGGAAATCTGATCTGCAGAATCAAGGAAAGACTTTCATTTCTACTGGAAAGGACATTTTAAGTTCCTGCTTATTCATGCGTTATTTATAGTAAGAAAAAAATGAAAAAACATAAATGGTCAAGAATAGGAACATAGTTAATAAATTAAGCTACATGATGAAACTTTATTCAGGATCAAAATTTAGCTCAATTTCTAATCAGGAAAATTAAACTTAAGAAACTATTATATACAGCCCTGGCTGGTTTGGCTCAGCGGCTGAAGCATCGGCCTGCGGACCAGAGAGTTCTGAGTTCAGTTCCCGCTGAGGGAATGTACCTCAGTTGCAGTTTATCCCTGGCCCTGGTTGGGGTCGTGTGGGCGGCAACCACTTGATGTGTCTCTCTCATGTCGATGTTTTTCTCTCTCTCCCTACCTCTCTCCCTCCCACTCTATCTGAAGATAAATGCAGAAATGTCCTTGGGTGAGGATGAAGTAACAAACAACACAAACCTATTATATACAGTATGATCCATATGTGCTTAAAATCAGAGTGCACACAAGCCTAGTGAAAAGACATGAAAGCAAAACATTAACAGTGGAGCCCTGGCCAGTTTGGCTTAGCGGTTAGAGCATCGGCCTGCGGTTCAAAGAGACCCGGGTACGCTAAGGGCAGGTACCTCAGTTGCAGTTTGTCCCCGGCCCTAGTTGGGTTGTACGGGTGGCAGCCACTCGATGTGTCCCTTTCACGTAGATGTTTCTCTCCTTCTCTTTCTCTTCCTCTACTATCTGAACAAAAAATGGAAAAATGTCCTCAGGTGAGGATAAAAAAAAAAAAATTAACAGTGGTTATACCATGTTTTGAGGTGAAGGAAATTTAGGCTACTTTTAATAATAAAAATAAGCTTATGTGTATATGTAACTAGTTTTCTGAACCATTTGAGAGAATCATATATTATGACCCTGTGCTAATCTTAAATACTTGGCATATATTTACTCGTATTAAATACTCAGCATTTATTTTCTAATAGTAGTTTCATAACTCGCTTACATAACAACACAATGGTAAATTTAACATTGAAACAATAATCTGTGACTGTATTCCAATCTGGCCAATTGAGCCAAACTGTACTTTGTATTTGCTGAAGAATGTTAAAGTTAAATCTCAGTTCTTTCATCAATATGCAAAATTTTTAAGTGCCAACATATATTTTTACAAAACCACATGCCTTCATCACACCTAACAAAAAAACCAGCATCCCTGGCATACGAGACAATGTCACACTCACTGGCTTGTCTAAAATGCAGCAGCCCAACAGTCTCTATTACTGATAAGAACGTAGAGTGTACAAGTTCTGCATTTCATTGGAGGCAGTGTAAGCCAGTCTGGCCACTTGGAAAATAATTTGGCAGTCATCTCGTAGAGCTGCCTATCTACTTCTGGATGGGTAACAAGAAACAGATCAAAGAATGTTCCCAGCAGTAATGGCTGTAATAGTAAAAAACTAAACAAAAATCCATGAGTACAGAAAGGATAAATTATGATATAACAAAATAAAAATTTTAAGTTATAAAGGATGAAGATAAGACACACTGATATGGTTAAAAAAATATCAAGTAATCCTTGACTTTAATGGAGGGCTTCTGCTGCAGTATGTAAATTTAACTATGTCTTTCTAGTAAGGCTTGCTCATTCTGACTACCTCTAGAGCATTAAAAAGAGAATGGAAGTAGTAAAAATAATTTTCACAGGCTAAAAAACATCATTTTAATCATAAGCTTCAAGCCCTTTGATAGTCATTTATTCATAAAAAGTTGAAAACCAAGGCCAATGCTAGCTCATCCTATCCCAATCCCTGCATATGCTCCAGTCACAGAACTAACAGGTGAGAATTTTAAGCCCACTTTTCCCTCTAGTCAATGAACTCACAATCTACCAGGGTGGTTTCCCATTAGACTGAAACCTATACAGGCCAGGGACTTAAGACTGTTCATTCTTGTATTCCTCCAATGCCCAGCACATACATAGCCTCTCAAATATTTACTGAGTAAATCAATGGTCACCAAAAGGTGAGTGGCAAAGAAGAAAGAGTTAGAGGATTCCATATGACCCAAGTTGCAAAACAGCCCAGAAGCCTACAACTACCTGAGTGTCCACTCCTCCATCACTTTTCCACTCACTGGACAAGTATTTATGATATAGCACCCACACGCCACAGAGGGTTGACAGAGAACTGAACAAGCATACCCAGCTCCTGCGCTCAGTGGTCTTCAGTACAATGGAGAGACCTAAGTGGTGCTAGGTTGGGTGACGATTAGTGCAATGAAGAAAACGAGGGAAGCAGGCAGTAGTGGTCTCTATGTTACAGCATGGTCAAAGAAGGCCTCTCTGATAGTGACACGTAAGCAGTGACAAGGAGCCTCTGTGGGAGGGGCCCTGTGGACATTCAGAAATAGAGGGTTCCAGACAAAGACATCAGAAAGGCTCTGGGAGCATGTTTTAGACAAGTTCAGGAGGGCAGAAGTCAGTGCAGAGGATTCAGGGCCTTGTGCCCAATGGTCAGGTCTTTTAACTTTAATTTATAGTGGGCTGAATGTTTTGTTGTTTTTGTTTGTTTAATCTTCATTGTTGAAAGTATTACAGATGTGTCCCCTTTCCCCCTTATTGACCCCCTCCTCCCCACTCCCACCCCCTGCTGCTTTCCCCAAACTATTGTCTGGGTCTACTGGCTACACATATATGCATAGAAGTTCTTTAATAAAGACTCCTGACATTTACCACGTATCTATGAAACTTTCACACACAATATAGTCCTGAAAATGTGTGCTGAAGTCAAATGTGCTAACATAGAAACAACTTTAGTGTGTGCTGCAGGTCCAAGGAGAATTCTCATTCCAAGAAAGCTAAACTTATTCTAAAATCTCTAATTTGACTTTGTTTTTTGACACAATTTTAAAGTCTATGTCTGGCGTGTTATATGTGTTAATTTCTTTCTTTAAAGTTAATAGTCAGCCAGCTTTTTAAAAAAAATCATCCAACTTGCCCTGGCCGGTTTGGCTCAGCGGTTAGAGCGTCGGCCTGCGGTCTGGAGAGACCCGGGTTCGGTTCCCGCTAAGGGCATGTACCTTGGTTGCAGTTTGTCCCCGGCTCTGGTCAGCCGTGCGGGTGGCAGCCACTCGATGTGTCCCTTCACGTCGATGTTTCTCTCTCTCTCTGTTCCTCTCTCCCCCTCCTACTCTACCTGAACAAAAAATGGAAAGGTGTCCTCGGGTGAGGATAAAAAAATAAATCATCCAACTTGATTGTCTTCGGCACAGCGAATGAGTTCCTTCTTTGTCTATTTTAAAAGAGACCCGTGCTTCTTACCATTGTACCAGTTTCTCATTTTTATAAAATAATAGCAAACACTAAAATTACTGTAAAAGCAGTGGCTGTATATGACCTACAAAATACATAATGCACTGACTCCCAATAGCCAAAAGTTACCTTGTTAATGTCTACGTCCAAGGCAGCTGAGACTAGGAAATTTTCTTCTTCAGGAAACTATCAACATTGAGTATGGCTGAAACGCTGGCTTCCCCTCCAGCTCCAATTCACCTCTTTTAAACCCTCCTAGTTTTGATAATCTTCAAGTGGTTCTCTACAAAGTCCGAACCTTGAGTGGGTCTATGTGTGAGCACAGGGACCAAAGAGGAGTGCTAGGAGTAAATACACCGTACTACACCCAGCACAGCAACATCCCCATGGAGAGAAGACTGCCCAGAGCCATTAGGTGGGACCGAGCAAGGTGGGCATCTAGAGTACAGACCATGTAGGATGAGCAGAGAGCCCCTGAGGGAGGGCAGCCTGGAACCTGGTGGGGTGGATGCCCACAGGCATCCCTACAGGGGGTAGCTGCACACATCACTATACAGTGACTAGGAAGCAGAACCAATGGGCGACGACATCAAATCCACAGAAACACAGTGGAATCAAGGATGAAACAGTATCTACGCTCCTAGACAGAAGTGTTCTGCTTTAAAGGCAAGCTTAAGCCCACCTGGACCAGCCCCTAGCCCCACACTCCTATAACCTCTATCTCCTTTGAGCAAGTTCAAGTCACTTCCTAAATCGCCATCAGCCTCCCACAACAGCACTGGCCCGATAAGGTCATCAGATTCTCTTACCAGGAACTGAACTCTGATTTCCTTACAGGCAAGCCTCGTGTCCCCAGTCCCCAGCTCTACTCTAAACCACAAGGCTACCAAGAGTTTTCCAATGTAAATTATTTTGCTTCTAGCTAAAATTCCTCAAAAATCCTCATCCGTTTAAGAAGTCTGCCTGCCTTTCCAGTTTCACTGCTTCTCACTTCCCCAGGAACAACACGTCTCCTGGTCAGGTTGGTCTCCAAAATAAAGCACAGCATTTCCCCCCACATCTGCACATCTGAGCAAAGGCAAACGCCAACCTTCTTCCTTCTGTCTAGAATGCACTGTGCCCTTGTCCAGCCAGCAAACTCATTCATTCCTCAATATTTTACTCAAATGTCAACTGTTTCCAATGCTTCCCTGGGTTCTACCCAGGAAAACGTAGCACTTCCTGCTGGGTCCCAAGGGGAGCATCAGAACACTAAGTCCACAGGAGATGCTTGATGCTAAAATAATGTGAGAATCAACTGTCCTCTTCTTGAATTAGTGAACACTTTTTACTTTCTCCCACTGTCCAACCTCCAGATTCCACCACAGTTTAAACCTCATTCACCCCATTGTCCCGTAAATCTCATGCAAATAATTTTCCGCTATCATTTAATACACTATTTACACCCTATTGTTCTCATCTATGTTACTTGAAACTACATACATTTCTTCTACATGAAATGTCTCTACAAGCAAATTTTCTAGGCATACCCCAAAAGTTGTATCTTAGATAGAGCCCAAAGCAACTAGTGTAATATCAGCATTTAATTATCATTTATTTAATGAAGGAAAACGTGAAGGCAGATGTGTGTAATAATGCAGTCTGTAGACCAGAAGTCTAGCTGAAACTTGGCTACTAATGAGGTGTGGGACCTTAAGCATTAGATGGAACTCAGTTTTCAACATCTGAAAAGCAAGAGTTAGACTAGAGGAAATATATATAAATTGTTTGTTTACACATTCATTTTCCCTCTTTCTCCACGAGAACATAGCTTCCTGAATCCCTCACGGCTGGTATACTAAAGCACACAAAGCTTCTCAATAAAATTGTAAATCAAACCAATTCTCACTAAACTCAAATTCAATGTAACCCTAATCGAGACACTTCTGGAAACAACTTGATGCCGTGAGTCTAAGATTCAAGAATAAAATACATGAGCCAGGAATACTGAGAAAAATAAATGGTACCAAATCAGGAATCAACCAATACATCAATGAAACAAAATCAAGCGTCCAGACATAGACCAAAGTACATAGAAGGTCAATGTAAGCGAAGGACACAGAGTTCAATATTCTAGGTAGAACAATGATGTGAATGAGGAGGGAAGGACAGGAAAAACATAGGTATACATGTCTGTAATATTGGGGGGAGGGGGCTGCTCTTACACATGATAGTATATTAGAAGCCACAAATAAGATTAATAAATTTAACTAAATATAATTTGTTTTGTTAATCCTCACCTAAGTATCTTTTTCCATTGATTTTTAGAGAATGTGGGGGAGAGAGAGAGAGGAACATCAAAGTGAGAGAGACACATCGACTGGTTCCTCCTGAATGACTCCCACTGGGCCGGGGATCGAACTTGTAACCCAGATACGTGCCCTTGACTGGAAACAAACTCACGACCCTTCAGTCCACAGGTCGACACTCTAACTGCTAAGCCAAACTGGCCAGGGCTGACTAAATATAATTTTTAAAAAATAAAACAATTATAAGGTTGACTGCTATTTACAGAGGAATTAAAAAGTCAAAATACAAAGATGCTCAACCTCCGTAATAATTAATGAAAAGCCTTTCCTATTAGTTCAACAAAGTTTTAAAAAAAATTAAATTCTGACTCCAGATGCCAACAGGCAATGCAATAGTGAAAGGCACTAATACAAACTTGAACTGTAACAACAGAATCGTGGTTGAGATTTTATTGGTTGTTTTGAGGATAAGTACACAGACATTTCCATTTGTACACAATTCTTCACACAGGTACCAAAAATGTGAAGTCGTGTAGTTGTGATTTTTTTCTAAACAGTTATTCCAGTGACTTTTAAGTTTAAAATTTGGAGGCTAATTTTCCTTAATAAAGTATCAAGTACCAGTATCTTCAAGTGTGAATATGCTGTTACATCGAAGCCCCACTAATTCACAATATAATATCCTATATATGACATAATTTTTCAATCTTTCACTGAACATTAACAAAGTTACTAGGAAAACTGGACTACCATATCAAAGATGTTACAGAGTGCACAAAATTCTGACAGGGAGAGCCAAGATCAAGGAGCAGTTTTCTTTAGGAAACAATTCTACCAAAAATATGGGAATAGAAGTAATTAAAAATGTTCAAGACATATTAAATGAACAACCAACTCCAAATTGCCATTTAGTTTGTTTTGTATTATAGGATATTAAAACTACCCCCATCTATGGAATGTTAAGCTGACACCCAAGACAATCAAAGCCTCTCATATTCAATATCCCACTATTTTCTGGTTGTACCAAAAAATTACCAGCAAATGATTTCACCTCTTTTAAAAAAAAGCACTTACACTTTTAAAAAGGGATGAGGTGAAATTCCCCCCTTCCTAAAAATGTTTCTAGAGCTACTAAGAAAAACTTGCACTTATAAAATAGTTGATAAAAATATTCCTCTGGATTGTCCAAGGGAGCCAGGGACCACTAATAAGACATGGTATACAATGTTAATCAGACTTGGCTTCCTTTTCTCCTGCTTCATCGGGGGCTTTATCAACCTCCTCTTTTTTTAGTTTCTTTGTTTTTCTACAGTTAGATCTTTAGGTCCCTGGTCAGCCACTTTGTCCTGTTTTCCCTTTGTTCCCCCTTTCCCTTCGTTTGCACTTTTTTGTTGCAGATTTATCCTTTCCTACTGCTTTTGGCTTCATTTTCACTTTGCAGGAGCAGGTTTAGCTGACAACCTCCTCTTGGGCTCCTTCTTTGCTGCCCTCTCCACAGAGCTGACCTTCCTCTTGGACATGGGCATCATGGCAGCAGAGCAGGTAGGTGCTGGGTGCCTGAGGACCAAGAGGCACCTAGGGACTTCAAGAACCTGGACTGCCCGCTCCTGCTGCTTCTCCCACTGCCCAAGTTGCTCAGACCCACTATGGGGACAGTGGGAGAACCAGAAGAAGACGGATTAGGAGCCCACCCCCCGCCCCCGGCCACTATTCTTAATATTCAGTTCTGGGCACCATAATTTAAGATGGGCATTGTGATCAAATGCAATATACCCAGGAGGGCAAACGAGATGAAAAGAGACCTAAAAATCAAACCATCTAATAAACCTTAAGCAGGTTTAACTTGGACTGGGACAACCAAGGAGGCAGGATGACAACATCTCAAAGACGCATACAGAGAAGACTTATTCAGCAGAGTCCAGGAAAACAGAGCTGTACTGGCAGGCAGATTTCCAGCTCTCTGTTAGAAAGAACATGTTCAAAATGGAATAGATTGCTTTTGTAAGTTATTGAAAGTGCTCAGAAAGGGAGAGGGAATATTTTACAGGTCCTCCCCAGAACAGTAAAGGCATCAGAAATGCTAACACACTTCCTTCTGCTATTCTGTTCTCCGTTATAAACTCATCAAGCAGCAGCTTGATGGAGGCAAAATTAAGGCACTCTTAAAATCAGATTATACCAAGATTATTATAGCTAAATTTAGCATTACTAAGAGTAGTTGAGTTTCCCATGTTCCAAATAAGGTATCGTACCAAAAAAAGATCCTTCTTGGCCTAAATTAAACATGTTTCTCTACCATATGAGCTCTTCACACCTTAAAATGCTAATGCGGGTGTTGAGTATACAAGAGAAGGATATTTAATATGCATCATCTTCACACTTACTTGGCAGTACTGTGTTCACACCTATTTTAATACTGCAAAACATAATGTGGGAACTCCTGATCAAAGCCCAAGAGTTCCAGCCTCTACTCACAATTTAAGTTTTCTGATGAACATTTACCACTGATAGCTTTTAAGATTCCGGTCATGTCTGGCTGATGTGGCTCAGTGGTTGAGTGTTGACCCATGCACCAAGAGGTCGCCAGTTCGATTCCCAGTCAGGACGCATGCCCAAGTTGTGGGCCCAATCCCCAGCGGGGGGCATGCAGGAGGCAGCCAATCGATGTTCGCTCATCGATGTTTCTGTCTCTCTCTCCCTCTCACTTCCTCTCTCTCTGAAATCAATAAAGAAAAAATAAATAAATAAAAAAAATCCCTGTCATGTTTTAGAGAACTGATGGTTAACTTATTTTTTTTGTCAAAGACCCTTTTGAAAATCCAATGTCATTTCTTCAGAAACACATACATGTACCCCAAAATTTTGCATGTGATTTCCAACTTCACAAATCCCCATTAATTCCACCCAGACCCTCACTAAAAAATTCTCAAAAGAAAATTTAGTTTTTCTTCTTTATTTGAAAATTGCGAAGGCTGTGGTAATATAGTAAATATAAAATTATTCCTGCATGGTGTCATTTCAACAGGAGGGACAGAAAAGTAAACTATACAATACAGCTAACATTACTAATAGCTCTAGGACTCCTATCTCCACACACAAATCCAAGATAGCTCAAAATATTCATCCTGATAAGATTTTAAACACATGAAACAAATAGCCAATTCCAAAGTTTTAATCTAGCTAGGCTGAAGTCTTTTATTATAATGCCCATTCCAAGAACATACATTTGACGTTTGTAATCTTTCCAGTTAGAAATCGTTCAGCTCTTCATCCCTATAATCTATAATTCCCAGCTGCGGAGTTATACACTGCATAATTTTCCTCCTTCCACTCTAAGCCTTTCCTCCTGGCTACTTCAATATTAGCTTGCACAGCATTTTGAAAGAGCAGCTTGTGAAACCATAGGTTAGAAATCTTTCAATCATTGTGACAGGCCACAATAAAGAAATATACACTTTCAGTCCTGGCCGATTTGGCTCAGCGGTTAGAGCGTCCGCCTGTGGTCCAGAGAGACCCGGATTCAGTTCCCGCTAAGGGCATGTACCTCGGTTGCAGTATGTCCCCAGCCCTGGTTGGTTGTGCGGGTGGCAGCCACTCGATGTGTCCCTTTTGCATCGATGTTTCCCTCTCTCTCTCTTCCTCTCTCTCCCTCCCACTCTATCTGTACAAAAAATGGAAAAATGTCCTCGGGTGAGGATAAGAAAAAAAAAAAAAGAAATATACACTTTCAAACTCTTAAAATTATTTATTTTAAAAATGTAAAAGAACTGTAAAGTACGTAGGGACTTTTAGCTACAAAGCTTATTTAAAACTTTGCATTAAGTAAGAAGGTGGAAAATAAAGGTGCTCTAAAACTTACGTTTTGCTTCTGATAGATTCTGATTAGGTGACCAGACCAGCATGCCAAGATTGTCTCGTTCTTGACTGCGTCGTGCTAATTTAGCTTGGAAGAAATAAAAAAGAAAAATTTTATTGCAATTTAACAGACATACAAAGCAATGATTAACAACACCACTCTGAGCTTTTAATTTCAGAATATGATGATGACATCACCCACCCTTTACTGAAATTTATCCCAATAGAACCCGAACACTTCCCACCCCAGTGTAATTGGGAGAGGTGGGGGAGAGACTCTGGAGTCCACTGAAACATTTCTCTAGGTCTTTTCCTACTTTACTATTACTTATTTAGTAAATAGGTACGTATGAGGTAGGTATAATGATTATTATCATATTATCATAGTCAGGACTGAACTCAGAAAGGCTGCAATGTGCCCTGGCTGGTTTGGCTCAGTAGTCAGAGCGTTGGCCTGCGGAATGGAGAGTCTGGGGTTCAGTTCCCGCTAAGGACATGTACCTCGGTTGCGGTTTGTCCCCGGCCCTGGTTGGGGTCATGTGGGTGGCAGCCACTCGATGTGTCTCTCTCACATTGATGTTTCTCTCTCTCTTCCTACCTCTCTCCCTCCTGCTCTATCTGAGGATAAATGCAATAATGTCCTTGGGTTAGGATTAAAAAAAAAAGAAAAAGAAAGGCTGCAATGTCCCAGGGTTTAAGCACAGTGTACTATGATGCTCTGCTTTCAGACAGGGAACATCCAGAAAGAAAGCTACATGTGGCCAGCTACTCAAAGGTTCTTTTATTATTATTTTTTTAAAATCCGTACCTGAGGATATTTTTCCATTTATTATCAGACAGTGTGGGAGGGAGGGAGGAGGGGGGAGAGAGAGAGAGAGAGAGAGAGAGAGAGAGAGAGAGAGAGAGAAACATCAATGTGATAGAACCACATCAACTGGTTGCCTCCTGCACAACCCAACCAGCCAGGGATGAACCACAAACGAGGTACGTGCCCTTGACTGGAAGTGAACCCGCGACTCATTGGTCCATGGGCTGATGTTCTAACCGCTGAGCCAAACTGGCCAGGGTTCAAAGTTTCTTTTAAAATGTGAATCCTTGCCTTGGCCGGTTTGGCTCAGCGGTTAGAGCGTCGGCCTGCGGTCCGGAGAGACCCGGGTTCGGTTCCCGCTAAGGGCACGTACCTCGGTTGCAGTTTGTCCCCGGCCCTGGTTGGTCGTGCAGGTGGCGACCACTCAATGTGTCCCTTTCACATCGATGTTTCTCTCTCTCTCTGTTCCTCTCTCTCCCTTCCACTCTACCTGAACAAAGAATGGAAAAATGTCCTCGGGTGAGGATGATAAAAAAAAATAAAAATAAAAATAAATAAATAAATAAAATGTGAATCCTTGCCCTGGTTGGTCTTGCTCAGTGGTTAGAGCATCGGCCCACAGACCAAAGGGTCATGGGTTTAATTCCCAGTCAAGGGCACATACCTGGGTTGCAGGTTTGATCCCCAGCCCGGGTCGGGGTCGTATGGGAGGCAACCAATTGATGTGTCTCTCTCACATAGATGTTTCTTTCCCTCTCTCTCTCCTTCCCTCCCTCTCATCCTTCCTTCTACTCTATCTAAAAATCAATGGAAAAATATCCTTGGGTGAAGATTAACAACAAAAAAAATTAATTAATTTAAAAATAAATAAATAAAAGGTGAATCCTTCATGTATGCTTAGAATACCCTCACCATTCCCTGCCAGAGTAACTTTTTGGTGACTTGACAACAGGAATCCAAAGATTCTTTCAACAACTTTATTAAAGAATAACCATTAAAAATATTTAACTTCTGAAATGCATTCAAGTTCTTAAAAATCTAGGCTACACGCCCTGGCCAGTTTGGCTCAGCAGTTAGAGTGGCAGCCTGTGGTCCAGAGAGACCCAGGGTTCCCGCTAAGGGCATGTACCTCGGTTGCAGTTTGTCCCCGGCCCTGGTTGGTCGTGCAGGTGGCAGCCACTAGATGTGTCCCTTTCATATCGATGTTTCTCACTCTCTCTCTCTCCTTCCTACTCTGTCCGAACAAAAAATGGAAAAATGTCCTCAGGTGAGAGGAAAAAAATCTAGGCTACAAAACAATAGACAAACAGGGGTACCAGGACCATAAAAAAGAAGCAAATCTCAACATTTGTGACAACATAAATGGACCCAGAGGGCATTATGCTAAATAAAATAAATCAGATAGTGAAAGAGAAATACCATATGATTTCACTTATATGTGGAATCTAAAACACAAATAAACAAAACAGAAACAAACTCACAGAAAAAGAGACTATTTTGATGGTTGCCGTGTGAAAGGAGGTAGGGGAGGTACAAGAAAATCGGGGAGAGATTACATAGTACAAATTGCCAGTTATAAAAGTAGTCACAGGGGTATAAAAGTACAGCATAGGGTTTATAGTCAATAATATAAAATCTATGGTGTCAGGTGGGTACTAGACTTATTGGGGTGATCACTTTGTAAATTATATAAATGTCTAACCACTATGTTGTACACTTGAAACTAACATAATAATGTATGTCAACTGTAACTGAAAAAAATAATTATTAAAAAATTTTTAATTTGGATCACAAATTAAAATTAAAAAGACTGAAAATAAGGTTTGATGATAATGTGGAGGAAATGGAAGTCTCATATACTGCTGGTGGGAATGTAAAATGATACTATCACTTAGGGGGAGAAAGTCTGGCAATTTCCTAAAATATGGTATTATCCATTCAATGGAATAAAAAGGAATGAACTATGTAAGCATGCAACAAGAATAAATCTCAAAACAAGTATTCTGAGTAAAAGACTTGCAAATACAGAAAGGGGGAGCCTAGATAAAATTCTGTGATGCTTAAGAGAAACTGATGGTAATGGTATGAAATCAGGTTTCAATGGAAATAGAAATATAGATGTGTGTACACATGTCTGCATGCACACATACACATATTTATTTCCCAGCTCTGTCCACTGAGAAGGCCCTGATACAGTGACAATCCAGCAACAGCTGAGCACATCTAGCCCCCAGATCTTGGTTTCTAAATACCATTCACCATTAAAAGAAACTAGGTCTCCTTGGAGAAATGGCTGATTGTAGGGCTAGGAGAGGAAATGTATGAGGACCCTGGCCCTGACCAGTGTGGCTCAGTTGGTTGGAGCATTGTCCCGTACACCAGAAGGTAATGGTTTGATTCCTGGTCGGGGCACATACACAGGTTTTGGGCTCAGTCGCCAGTCAGGGTGTGTTCGGGAGACAATTGATTGCTGTTTCTGTCTCACGTTGATATCTCTCTCTCTCTCTCTCTCTCTCTCTCTCTCTCTCTCTCCCCACCCCCATTTCCTCCCTCTCTTCTCTCTGAAATCAATAAAAATATATATATTAAGAGGACCCTGGAACATCTTGTTTCTTACCAGATGATAAGAAAGTATTCAAAGAATAATAGGACATATCTCTCGTTGGCCAAATCTGGGAACATTTGAGCAACAAAATAAATGACAGTAATGAAATAACAATATATGAGTCCATACCAACATAAACAAACAAAAGGATAGATAAAGAGGGAAGTCAAATGGGACCAGAATAGCCAGGTCAAAATTGGAAGACTCACGTGCCACTCTATTTTAAGACTTACTATATATAAAGGCACTGTATTCTAAACAGTGTGGTACTGGCAAAAGGATAGACACACAGATCAATGGACCATAACAGTCCAGATATACACCCATATAAATATGGTCAGTTATTTGTAACAAAGGTGTAAAAGGAAGTCAATGGAGAAAAGGTACTCTTCTCAATAAAGGGTATTTTAAAAAAGTGAACCTCGACCTACACTTCACACCTTTGATAAAATTCAAAATGGATCTCAGATATAAAAGTAAAACCTACAACTATAAGACTTTTAGGAAAAACGAGAAAATCTTTGTGAACTTGGGTTTAGGAAAAGATAGGACAACAACAGTAATCTATAAAAGTTTAAAATGGTAAATTGAGCTTAATCAACTTTAAAACTTTTGCTCTGCAAAAAACACTGTTAAGAAAAACTATTGACTGTGAGAAAAGATTTTTAAGTCACATATATGACAAAGGATTTGTATCAAGATATATAAAAAACTTCAAAAACTCAGTAAATAACAACAAAAAAAACCCCACAAGTTTTTAAAATAAGCAAAGATTTGAATAACCACTTCACTGAAGAAGATATACAGAGGGCATATAAGCACATGAAAAGATCCTCAACACCATTAGCCAGCAGAGAAATGCAAATTAAAGCCATGCTGAGAAACAACATACAGTACACCTATGAAAACCTCTAAAACAAATGAAATGAATAACACCAAGTACTGACAAAAATGAGGAGCAACTAAAACTCTCATATAGTGCTGGTATAAATACAAAACAAAAAGCCACTCAGAAAAAGCTTTGCAATTTTTATAAAAATATAATTATATTTAACAAATAACTGACCCAACAATCCCACTCTTAGATATATACCCTATAGAATTAACATATGTTCACAATAAAATTTGCATACATTATAGCAGGTTTATTCACAACCACCAAAACTGCAGGAGGCAGCCAATGTTCCACTCTCACATCTCAAATCGATGTTTCTCTTTCCCTCTTCCTCTAAAAATCAATAAATATATATATATATCTTTAAATGCATGGCTGGTGGGACTACAAATTGGTGCAGCCACTATGAAAACACTATGGAGGTTCCTCAAAAAATTAAAAATAGAGGAAGCATTTGAGATCTTGCTCCCTGGCATATGTCATCAGTCTGACTCAAATAAACTCTTATAAAAATTCAAAAAATTAAAAATAAAAATAAAGCTACTATATGAACCAGCAATTCCATTCTGGGTATTTATCCAAAGAAATCCAAAACACTAATCTGAAAAAAATGCATGCATCCCTATGTCCACTGCAGCATTATTTACAACAGCCAAGATATGAAGGCAACGTAGGTATCCAACCAGGTGGTAGAGCCCTGGACAGTTTGACTCAGCAGTTAGAGCATCGGTCCGTGGACCAGAGAGACCCAGGTTTGGTTCCCGCTAAGGGCTTGTACCT